GGCTGATTGCTGTTTAATCAACCGAGAAAGAACCGATGTTATAAGTTTGACGGCAGATCCAGCAACAACTTCCAACTTACAAGAATGAGGCCAAATGGAGCGGCGTATTTCCTTCCTCGTCGACCACATGCAATGAAGCACCGGCGTCCAGAAGGAGGGTGCAAATCTCGCGGTGACCTTTTATTGCGGTCACATGCAAAGCATTATGTCTTATGTTATTAACGGCATTGACGGCTGCGCCTCGCGATAACAATAGATCCGTTATCTCCGGCTGATTGCTATTTAATCAAACGAGAAAGTACCGATGTTAGTTTGATGAAGTTACGGCAGATCCAGCAACAACTTCCAACTTACAAGAGTGTCGCAAAATGGAGGGGCGTATTTCCTTTCAAGCTAATCACATGCAATGAAGCACCAGCGTCCAGAAGGAAGATGCAGAGCTCGCGATGACCTTTCCCCGCGGCCATATGCAAAGCACTATGTCTGTTGTTATTAACAGCATTGATGGCTGCGCCTCGCCATAACAGTAGATTCGTTATCTCCGGCTGATTGCTGTTTAATCAAACGAGAAATTACCGATGTTAGTGTGACGTTACGGCAAATCCAGCAACAACTTTCAACTTACAAGAATGAGGCTAAAAGGAGGGGCGTATTTCCTTCCTCGTCAACCACATCTAATGAAGCATCAGCGTCTAGAAGGAGGATGCAGAGCTCGCGATGACCTTTCGCCGCGGCTATATGCAAAGCACTATATCTGTTGTTATTAACGGCATTGACGGTCGCGCCTCGCGATAACAGTAGATCCGTTATCTTTGGCTGATTGCTGTTTAAAAGAACCGATGTTAGTTTGACGTTGCGGCAGGTACAGCAACAACTTCCAACTTACAAGTATGTCGCAGCATGAAGAGGCGTATTTCCTTTTTGGTCGACCACATCCAATGAAGCATCAGCATCCAGAAGGAGGATGCAGAGCTCGCGATGACCTATCCCCGCGGCTATATGCAAAGCACTAAGTTTGTTGTTATTGACGGCATTGACGGCCGCCCCTCGCGATAATAGTAGATCTGTTATTTCCGGCTGAATGCTGTTTAATCAACGAGAAAGTACCAATGTTAGTTTGAAGTTACGGTACATCCAGCAACAACTTCCAACTTACAAGTATGTCGCAGCATGAAGGGGCGTATTTCCTTCCTCGTCGACCACATGCAATGAAGCACCGGCGTCCAGAAGGAGGGTGCAAACCTCACGGTGACCTTTTATTGCGGCCACATGTAAAGGATTATGTCTTATGTTATTGACGGCTGCGCCTCGCGATAGCAGTAGATCCGTTATCTCTGGCTGATTGCTATTTAATCAAACGAGAAAGTACCGATGTTAGTGTAACGTTACAGTAGATCCAGCACCAACTTCCAACTTACAAAAATGAAGCTAAATGGAGAGGCGTATTTCCTTCCTCGTCAACCACATCTAATGAAGCACCAGCGTCCAGAAGGAGGATGCAGAGCTCGCGATGACCTTTCCCCGCGGCTATATGCAAAGCACTATAACTGTTGTTATTGACGGCATTGACGGCCGCGCTTCGCGATAACAGTAGATCCGTTATCTCCGGAAGATTGCTGTTTAATCAAATGAGAAAGTACCGTTGTTAGTTTGACGTTACGGCAGATCCAGTAACAACTTCCAACTTACAAGAGTGTCGCAACATGGAGGGGCGTATTTTTTTTCTCGTCGACCACATTCAATGAAGCACCAGCGTCTAGAAGGAGAATGCAGAGCTCGCGCTGATTTTTCCAAGCGGCCATATGCAAAGCACTATGTCTGTTGTTATTGACGGCATTGACGGCCGCGCCTCGCAATAACAGTAAATCCGTTATTTCCGGGTGATTGCTGTTTAATAAAACGAGAAAGAACTGATGTTAGTTTGATGTTACGGCAGATCCAGCAACAACTTCCAACTTACAAGTATGTCGCAGCATGAAGGGGCGTATTTCCTTTCTCGTCGACCACATCCAATGAAGCACCAGCATCCAGAAGGAGGATGCAGAGCTCGCGATGACCTTTCTCCGCGGCTATATGTAAAGCACTAAGTCTGTTATTGACGGCATTGACGGCAGCGCCTCGCGATAACAGTAGATCTGTTATCTCCGGCTGATTGCTGTTTAATCAATGAGAAAGTACCAATGTTAGTTTGAAATTACGTCAGATTCAGTAACAATTTCCAACTTACAAGAGTGTCGCAAGATGGAGGGGTGTATTTCCTTCCTCGTCGACCACATGCAATGAAGCACCGGCGTCCAGAAGGAGGATACAAAGCTCGCGCTGATTTTTCCTCGCGGCCATATGCAAAGCACTATG